GACGCGTTGGCCAATGGGGCGAGGGGAGCCCGGGGGAGGGAGACGCGTTGGCCAATGGGGCGAGGGGAGCCCGGGGGAGGGAGACGCGTTGGCCAGTGGGGCGAGGGGAGCTCGGGGGAGGGAGACGCGTTGGCCAGTGGGGCGAGTGGAGCTCGGGGGAGGGGACAATGGGGTCCCGTGTTCACCAGAGAGGCAGAGAGCTGGCGTGGGTGAGTGGTTCTAGAGGAGGAAGGGCGGCAGTGTCAGGAGAGGCTGGTTTTAAAATGTGTTCATGAGCTCTGTTTCTCCGCAGCTGTCTACAGAACAGACTGCGCAGCTGGGCGCAGAGCTATACATCGTCAGGGTGAGTGTATTGCAGTGTTGTGTGAGAAAAAAGAAACCACTGGACCTGAATGCACACTGATTATCTGTATATTCTGACCTGATATACGTCAGGCCTATGTGTCTGTGTCGTGTGGGTCTGGCACTGTCCCCGTATCTTCTGCTACTTGTATCACTATGTGTGCCACGGTACGTCTGTGTGGCTGAGTGTGTTCTTTTCTCTCAGCAACTCCTCCATATTGTGCGTCAGAAGACGACGCAGAGTCTAGTGGACACCACGCTGAAGTTCACACTTAGCGCGCTCTGGAACCTCACTGATGAGTCTCCTACAACCTGCCGGCACTTCATCGAGAACCAGGGGCTGGAGCTCTTCATGAAAGTGCTGGAGGTCAGTGACCTTTGACCCTGCACATACAGAGCCTGGACCAGGGACTGGAGCTGTTCATATGATAGTGATAGATACTAACACGTGGGTGTTTAGACACCACACCAACGTACAGCTACATGCATTGTATAAGCGCACCTAAAGCACACACAGACATTAGGACATCGCAAGAAAGGCAGCGCTGGGCCACACAGTTCTCTAACAACCTCTCTCCCTGCCCACAGTCCTTCCCCTCTGAGTCTTCCATACAGCAGAAGGTCCTGGGCCTGCTGGTGAGTCTGTGTATGTGTGTCACGTGGTTTTCTGCCTTAGCTCTTAACTGAGTAAACCATTCAGATAAGGTGTTTAAAATAGAAATATGACCAAAAGGCCATTCCGTTCAGACAAAACCCAATAATTCCATCTGTCTGTTGAAACCTTTTGAATATTTCATTGAGGTATTTTAGAATCTGGGAGGTATTGCACATGGGCAGTAATGCCTTCACATCCAATTAAAATGCCACTTCCTGGTAAAGAAAGCCAAGCAGGGAGCTTGGGACGCCAGCCGTTTCATTTTGAACACTTTTCCTTTGCATTGCTGCTGTTATATTCATGTTCATATGAGATTCATTTTTCAAAATGTGATCTTTAGAATGACCGCAAGCACTAAATGTACAGTCTGCAGCCTGGGGCTGACTGAGCAGCCTGAAAGGGCTCAGTGGGCCACACAGCTGCCCAAGAGGAGCAGAGAATGGAAAGACTATCCAGCATCAAGCCCAGTTATGTTTTAGAAGAGTTAATTATTTGTTAAATTAGTGTAATGCATTTAGTCCTGCCTTGTTTGTAAAAGGCGAAAACGTGACGTGCTGTAGCATTATGCCCTGCGTGCCGCCGACGGCCCCATGCGGCACGTAGTCACTGCTGGCGTGAGGTGCCTTGCTGGTCCTCCCTGCTGATGGCGCCCCCTGGTGTCCTCTGTGCAGAACAACATCGCGGAGGTGCGGGAGCTGCACTCGGAGCTCATGTGCCAGAGCTTCGTCGGCCACATCCGCGAGCTGCTGCACAGCCCCGAGGTGGAGGTCAGCTACTTCGCCGCGGGGATCCTGGCCCACCTGACCTCGCGGGGGGAGGCCGCCTGGACGCTGGGGCTTTCTCTGCGCTCCGACCTGCTGCAGCAACTGGTAACCCCGAAACCTACCAGTTCCTCATGGGCCCAGAGCGCCCTGTTGACAGTCATGTCCCACACAGCCCATTAATCCAGGGGTCACCAGCAGCAACACTTGGACTTGGACTCCATACTTGGATCCTCCTTATTAAGTCCTGAAATGATCCTTAATTGCTTAATTAACACAGGCTCACTTCTCTAATTAAGGTTGACCACCCGTACAGCACCGTATTGTAATTAAAGCTTTCTGATATGTTAAGTCACTCCTGGCGCTGCAGTGCCTGCAGTGTCTTCTAAACGAACCAGCTGTAAAGACGAAGGGTGTGGAAGCCGTGCGTCCGAGGCCTGACTGTGTGTGTCTCCTGTCCCTCGCAGCACTCGACCATCCTGAAGTGGCCCACGCCCGAGTGCGAGATGGTGGCGTACAGGTGAGCCTTGTGCTGACGGGCCCTGACCTGAGTTTCTCATCTTCTTCTCACCCCCCCCACCACCACCACCACCACCACCATGAAAATCTAAATGTCCATTTCCTTGTCTGTGTTGGGTTCCTGGTTTTTCCGCGCATGCGGTAGTGCCGTCTCTCAGGTTCTGTTTGAATTGCACAGATACAGCATGCCGCAGTGGTGCTGCCCCTTGTCTCTCTCAGTTCTCCTCCCCTCCTCCCCCCAGCATCTCATGCTCTCCGTCTCTCCTTGCCTCCAGGTCCTTTAACCCTTTTTTCCCCCTCCTGGAGTGTTCCCAGACACCTGGAGTGCAGCTGTGGGCGGCCTGGGCGATGCAACACGTCTGCAGTAAAAACGGTGAGGGCTTGCGGGCAGGCAGGGTGGGTGACGGCACCTCCTACAGGACGGGAGGAGTCCTGGCGTCATCTCCCACCAGGCCCGGGCTGCTCTGTGGGGCTTGGTGACATCCTGCCCAACGAGTGTGATTTTCTCACAGTCCCCATTCCTGGAAACCTCAGTATTCCCAAAATAGAGACATTATGTCATTCTAAGCTTGGTGGCACGGCCGTGAATGAATCTACAGTGCTTACAAAAAAAAAAGAGTGCTGAATGTTATAGTAGGATATTCCTCAATAAGCAGGCTCTGAAGTAATAATGTAGTTTGCCCTTGAATCTGGCCCTGGTTATGTGCAGATTTCTGCCAGCTCGTCCTGGGAGGGAGTATCTGGAATCATATTGCTCCCCAGGAAATCCTGCTCGGCTTCAGGAGCACGAACAGTCTGATGTTGCACGTGTGTGATGGGGGAGCTGTAAAAGCAGCATGATGTGCTGTGTTGTAACTGAATGTTTGTCAAGCGCTGTCCTCTGCCTGTCCTCCGCCAGCCCCGCGGTACTGCAGCATGCTGATCGAGGAGGGCGGCCTGCAGCAGCTGCACAGCATCACCTCCCACCCCCAGACCCACCCGGACGTGCGCCACCTGGCCGACAGCATCCTGGACAGCCTGGAGAGGCACCGCGCCCGCACGGGCCAGCCGGCAGCCCCCCACTCCCCACGCCGGGCCTGAGCAGCCCCCCCCAGAGAGTCCGGACAGCTCGGCGAGGGGTACGGCCGCCCAACACCGCCCCCAGCCCCGCGTGCTCCTTCCTGCAGCAGTCTGGGATCGGGCACGCAGTTTGAAGCTCAAATATAAAGAGGAAGGAATCTTTTTAAACCTCCTCTTCTCTTCTCAAGGAAGGCATAGGACGATTATATTTTAGGTGTCAAACTGATCAAAGAGGGCCCTCTTGACATCACTCAGGTCCTCTAGTTAAAACACATTAACACTCTGCAAAAAGTGCTGAGGCTCCTAGAATCAGACTCGCGCCTCTGGTAGGTCCTTGTGACCTTAGTGTGTTCCTATATCATCACCAGCTCTAGCCTCCTCCCTCTTCCCCGTGATTGGCTGTTCTTGGTTTTGCTGTTCTCCGTGGCCAGGAGAGGATGAGGCTTTTCGGCTACTCTCTGATAACTGGCGGAGGAAAATTCAGTCCCCCTGTTGGAGGTGCATAGATGCAGGTTGTTGCCCGTGCCTGCAGTGGCAAATGCAACAGCCTCACTCCTGTCGGCAACTACAGCCCATTTAAAGCTGACAAAGACCAGCCCGTCTTGCTCTAAATGATTTCTGAACACAAAGCGTCCGTCCCGTATCGCCCATCGGAGAGGCCCTGAGCCCATGTGATGCTCTCAGATGTTCACTGTTGCTTCTCTCTGCCTCTTCCAGAGGAGGAAAACCCGTGGGTAGGCCTGGGCTCGTCCCTGCTGGCGCCCCCTTTTGACAGCGTGAGGAAGTGGCTGAAGATGCCCTGGACTCCTGCCAGCGCTGGGAGAACTCAGGAGACAGTCCTGCTTGGTCGAACCAGAACAGACACAGTCATCTTTAGGGGCGTTACTGTAGACACTGTATGGCTGGCCTGGTGAGAGGAACTTAACCTTATTTATGAACAGATCACTTCAGCAATGATTGTTATTCATTTTTTTTTTTGCTATGAAAGCAAATGTGTATTAAAACTTTAGTAAAGGGTGGCTGAACAATAGGACCCCTGAATTCATATTCCTATACAAACGCATATAGGTGCATCTGAACCTTTGAGTGACATGGGTTTCTTGTGCAGTTTCCAACTTCCCAGTTAGCTGCTTTAGCTTTTTGCTGAGTTGCTAAAAAAGGCTGAACTGGACTTCAACACCTTCGCCTCCATCTTGGATGAGTGTGAACGTGCATGCTGATGTGTGAGTGGACACTTTTATTTGTATTTTCCTATCTGGACATTGTATAGTTTAAGAGAATCTTCCTATTAAGTTATATATATATAGTGACTAGTTTCATCCGGACACAAACTGCAATAAAATACATGAGCTATAGTTATATACTGGTATAAATATATATGAAAGTGTTTTTTTAAAAAGATGTATATTTATGTAAGTTTTAAATGGTGCCTTGTGTGTGTTTTGTGCTAGACTGTGCGTCCCGTCTGTAATCGTGACAGTACCTGGAACAGCATGTCAGACATCTTTACATTCTTTAAAAAAAAAAAGACTTCTTGCCAGACACGGTCCCTTTGAGCCGCATAGCTAGATGTAGTGAGCTTTTCCTCCTTTGTGCAATCTTGCATGCTAGAGAATAAAACGGCTTGTTTGCAGTTTGTTAAATTCCAATTATGGAGACCGTGGATAAACAGCTCGCTGGACTGTGTGGATCACGGACTGAAAGCCTCCCATCGTGGAGTTCACTACATTTTTACTCCATCGCTGCTCTCCCCCGCAGTGCCACTGCATTGTTTGTCATTACCAGTAAAAGCAGCTTCGGAAAGCTAATTCTTAAGGACGTGCGCATGTACCAGGGCGAGCCTGTTGCCTCACCCAGCTGAATCAGTCCGCGATGCAGAATTCAGAGCAGGGGGTCACTTCGGTCCGTTCCTGGAGCCCCAGGTCCGATCACGGGGGAGTCGGGCTCGGATCCCGGAGGGCCAAGGTGTCTTTCCCGCTGAGCAGTCAGTTAAACGATAACATCATTTGTTTCTGAGATGCACGTAGGTAGCATGTTTATTAAAATCTTTTGCTGTTGGTTCCTCAAAACATCCACTTTGTTAAAAGATCAGGAACTGACCTGGAGCCAGCCTCTGAAGCTCCTTTTGCATTGCCACTGTGCACTGTGTGAAATACGTAGGCTGTGTAACTGAGTGCTCAGGTGAAACACTGGGCCCTCTAGGAGCCAGGACATGGGACAGAGAGTAAATGCAGCCAATTAACAAGTACATACCTAAGAAAAGTTACAAACCAGACAGGGCTATTTGGCCCAACTGCCCTGTTTGAAACTTAGATCCCAGGATCTCATCCAGCTGCTTGTAGAAAGAAGCCAGGGTATCGGCTTCAACAGCATGGCTGAATAACATGTTCCATACTCCCACAATGCTCTTGGTAGAGAGGTGTCACCTGTTCTCAATATTAAATGCACTTTCACATTTTCCATAGGTCCCAGATCCCAGATTTGGTCCAAAAGAGGCATCCACATGCTGTACTCATCTGACATTTGAATTTCACATACAGGTCATGATTTTTTCAGGACAATCAGGGTGAAGGTTTTCTCCAGATGTCCCACCTGGGATTTGAACCCACAACCCTGCAGCTCCACTGCCATTACTGTTGAGCTGTCCCTCATTTAATTACATTAGTTTCATAAACAGCTGGGTCATTCCCCTTTTCCTCAGTATGTCTAAGTGATTATGTAAGAGCTGATTAGACCCAGTTCCTGAGATGCACAGTTTACGGTGACACGAGCCTTTCGCTATTGGAGCACCTATTCCGACATGCCCAGACTGTTGGCGAGTGTAAATGCATGTGGGATATGTTTCTCTGTGAGCCCAGGCTGCACTGTACACAAGCAAAGTCCCCCTGTTGATTCACAAGTGAGGGAGGTTTCATACCAGGAACTTTAATTCCATGCTGAAGTTATATGATGCAAACTTCTGTTTGATCCCGTCTTAAGACCAGTATTTTCACGTTTTTACCCCTTTGTAGAAACGCCACAGCTCATACAGGCGTGTCTTTAGAAAACCTTAATGGGTGCAGACGAGCTGTTTCCCAGGTTCAATAATGAGTCCTGTAAGGGCTCAGCTGGATCTGCAGAGCAGAGCGGATCCCAACCTTGATCTAGTCAGTCAGTCTTGGGCCCTGGAACATGCTGGCCTGCAAAATGGAAACCTACCTCTGAAGTCCAGAGCCCTTACCTGATGCTTTATTGGGTACGAGAACACTCTAGGATATTGAACCCCACACCACCTCCCATTATGAGGAATGGGATATTGACACTGGCGAGTCAAAGATTTGACGTTAAATTCCTCAAGACCGTCGGTCTCAATGAGACCCCCTCAACTGTACTACTGATCTTCAAACATCATTGTTTTAGCTGCCTCACAGAATCTCATAGGTGCTTCATAATCTGTGCCCAGCTCAAACATTTTTCTCAAGCAGGTGACGTCAGTAACGCAGAGCTTCGCTAGAACACAAAGCAGAAAGTTCCCACTAAGACCAGTGTTGGGAGTGCAGTTTCCCAGTGACCCTCAGTGATATATTAGTAGTAGTATATGTACTGGTTGTGCTGACACTGGCTAGCGGCAGCTGTAGGGATTGCTGCTGCCCTGCGGTCAGGCTACTGGTCAGCCATGTGCTTCTCCTCTCCACCTCTTTGCTCTTGCAACAAGAAGCTGGCTTGTTAGCCCCTCACTTCCCTTTTCTTCAGTTCCTGGCAACTACCTTTCTTATAAAATCAACATTTACTGGAATAGTAGCAGTATCGTCAGTGCAGGAAACAGGGTGCACAGGGGGTCACTTACCATGGGCTGGTCTTCAGCTGGACAGTGGTTTTCTGGTACAGGTTTCCTGGGTGTCCACCAGGCCTGGCCAGGTCCTGGCGTGTCTTCCTCCAGCCTGGCACCACGCTGTTCGAGGGGAGGTGGAAACGCTGTTGAAAGCCAAGGAGTTTTGCGCGAGTGGGTTGTTTATATGCCCGTGTCTGCTGTTAAGCATGTCATGCTGGTCTCTTCATTTGGGGTAAATTTGCACAGACGTGAAATTTAAAAATATATCTCTTTGGGGGTCTGTGGGGTTTTCCAAGAGAATGGCGTGGTGGCAGCAGGGTTAGCGCTGCTGACTCATTTATTTCCTGTGATCCTGGGTTGAGTATAGATTGAGGTACCTTCAGTGTGGAATCTGCATGTTCTACCTGGGCTAGCATAGGTTTCCCTAGTGATCTGGGTTTCCTCCCATTACAGCAGTGCCAATTGGCTTCTCTGTGTTGTCCCTGGTGTCGCAGTTAGGCTAGGGTTGGACTAACCCTGTCAAATCTATCAAAACAAAAGGATGAGGAGAAAGGAAGATGGAATTGACTGATGACTTGCTTGATAAACAGGCACAGTTATTAAAACTCCCGTTGGCTCTCCAATTCTATGCATCCTTATTTAAGGTTGGTTATTTTACCGAGTTCTGTTCAAATTCTTTTTGCCCTTAAGATGAGTGTTTGCGCTGTGCTTTTCCTTTTCCACAGTAGTTTGAGCTTACTGGTAAGGAGTGTGAAGACTGTCATGGATGTTTGCTTGATCCATTGCCCTTCCTGCAGGTTTTGTCTATGCAAGACTAATGTAGTGAAACCAAGCTTGCAGAAAGCGCATCATATTAGCAATTGTAAAAAGTAGAATTTTGAAAGCGGTAAATTATGACGGATGGATTATTTTATGCAGTTTATAATGAATGTTCGGGAGGGATAACAAACAGTCAACTTCAGTAAGCCTCAGCTATCAGTATTTCGTAATCACCTGTCATCGTTTCCTCACCTACAACATTAGAAATAATGTACATAATCACCTCCACTCCCTCACTTGTCATCTTCACCTTTCCAGCTGCCCCGGGTCTCTCCTCACTCTGCAGAGGGGTCCCAGCCTCTTCGTCCTGTGGCCAAGGGGCTGGCCCTCAGCCAAGCAGGTTCAGCCACATTTTTCATGACTAAAATCCAAACCTTTCAGTTTGCTTAATTCTTGGGTGACGTTATGAGGGCAGTGTGCTTCTTTTTCATGCACTGGAGAAACAGGAGGAGTTGGGGGAGGGACTCTTGCAGTTGTCATTGATCGTTCCTGGTGATGTTAACATGCTACCGAGACACGCTTCCAGCACAGGTGGAGGAAGACAACGGCTGATTTTTAAAATAAAGAATGTACATCCTCAGCCGCTGTGGTTCCTGTGTCGGTGTGTGTGTGAGATGATGTCTGGTGAATATCGAGGTGGGTCGGGCTGCTGTTTGCTGTTGCCTGAGTGTTGCAGGCGATGGGAGGTTCCCTGTGAAAGCGAAGACTGTGGTGTGGTACCAGCGCTGTACTGCAGAACCAAGGGCATCGGCCTCTGACTCCCTGCCCCGAGTCCACACAATGAGTAACGGGCCTTCTCTGGTGGAACGTGCTGCCCGAGTACATTAGAGATGGGGAGACTGGCCATGTTTAAGTCTCTTCATTATAGTTTATGACGCAGAACTTCACTTTACTACAGATAATATTTGCTCAGCTTCCTGTGTTTTTTCTTCTCTTCACTGGCTGTGGTGTGTGCTATTTCTTAGCACCGTCAGAGTGCGTAGAGAAGTGGTCAGACATTGCACTCGTAACACAAGTGAGGCGACAGGGCCACAGGCCAGCAGTGCCAGCGCCTTGGCGCAGTCGGGGCAGCATCGGGACACTGTAGTGAGGTAGGGTGAAGGGCGGTACTGGAAGACATACTGGCCTGAACACAGCGATGAAACAGGATGGCTGGAGTTTACGAAAGAAGTCGGTAGAAGCATTTTATTTTCATTACAATTACTGACAGGGCATTGCAAATTACTGAATCATTGCATAGATATGCAACCATAGTCCCCCTCTCATCGGCGCCCCCAGCGTGGTGGTATTAAACCTCCACACCCAGCAGTTTGCTTGACCCCACACATCTGTCTGTTCACCTGGACAGATTCCAGTGTCTCTTCAGCACACAGCGTAGGTCTTACTGGCTGGAGGAGGGCTTGGACCACAGTGGTAGTGATGCACAGCTGGGCTGCAGCTGAGGCATAGGCAGCAGGTACAGTGTCATCCAGTCCTCTGGTCACAGCCCTGTTCTTTCCCTCTGTAGTGTTTAAGGAAGCAGGACACTTGAGCACACAAGTCTACACTATTGTTCTCATTCAGATCGGCTGTAGGAGCGAATCAGGACAGACAACTGGAAGTTCAACACCCATGCGTAGAAAAGGGGGCAAGAGGAGAGAAATGTAAAAATCTATCCCAAAAAAGTTTACAAAAAAAGAGGTCGAGTCGCGTCTTTAGCTGAAGCAGACAGAAGACTGGAACAGCTACCGCTGAAGCAGACTTGAGCGGCTTGTTATAGTGTGGGCGCAGATAGACAGGAAAGAGTACACTCTAGTAAGCGCTTGAGCCACAGCAGGATGGAGGAGACTGGATCTCAAGACGACATGCGCAGGACGGGATGCGAAGGGGAGTTTAAGACCCGACAGCGCTGGGGCAGGTGGAGGGGGGGTCTGGACACTCGACCTGAATGGGCCGGGGCCGGTGCCGGTGCCAGCGCCGCCCGTAGTTACTCCCCCGTGTAGCGTGGAGGCCTCTTCTCAATGAAGGCAGCCATGCCCTCCTGCCTGTCCCGTGTTGGAATGACCTGGGAGGAAAGGGAACGGGGAGAATCACAGACATCCTCCTGCAGCACCTGGGCTCCCGTCGCCTCTAAAACCAGCAGCAGCCCTCTCTCTTGTAGGACGAAAGGGAGTCCATTTAGTAAAATGTTGTGATGAAAATAACTCGGGCCACACAAATGTAGAAGATCTTCACTGCGCAATACAGCTGTTGAAGAGGCATCTTTTCTGACTTTCACCCCTAGAGCTTGTTTTATACCACAATAGCTACAGAAGTACAAGTTCACTCCAGCTTGTATCCAGTTCTGCTATAGCTTCATTTCTGAAAGTAGATAAGGAGATGAAGCACATATTTGGTATCGTTCCAGCTTCTCTGACCTCGCTGATCCGACAAATACTTTGATAGCGCAGGAACAAGCGCTCTCGGGTACGTCTAGGTCACCACTCTTTATCTCACACGTCTAATTTAACCCTCTGACCTCATGCAGCTCTTCACAGGTTACTCTAATTAAGGAAATAATTTGCAAAAAAAAAACACTGGAGTTACGAGGATCCGGGTAAAACATTTTGGATGTTGAGAACTTAAAACCCGCTGAGAATTTCAAGGTGAGCAGACTGAGGGACAGAAGCACCGGTGTGAGGTCAGCAGGGACCAAAAATAACCCCAAAAGGGGTGAAATGGAACAAAAAGGCAAAAAAAGAAAGGTGTACCGCTGTGCAACTCGACCTCCAGGCTGGGCTTACCCTGTTTAACGGGGCCCAGCCTGGGGAAAAGGAGAACCGCTCGCACAGCGGCGACCAGACTGGACACCCCGTTTAGCAGGGTCCAGTCTGGGAGAGCAGGGCGCGTAAGGCCAAAAACAAAACAAAACTCAGTGTGTGAAAAAGGCGTGCCTGCCCCGGTGAAGATATTGCCTTACGCAGGTGCAATCCCCTCTGGGACTGTCAGTGTAACACTCCCCCTTCTGGGGGTGTCCAGTGTGCCTTTGTAGGACCTGCACAGCTGTGGCTCATCCTCTAGTAGCCGGGACAGCTGTGGCTACAAAGACGAGGCCTCCACACTGGACACGCCCCTGCGTAATGCCACAGCTGACATGGACCTGCAGCACACCCCAGAAGCGAAGAAGAGGTGGGCCAGTTTTGAATTTCTCTCCACATCCCAAAGTGGATATAATACCAGACACGGTGATAGCGTTACAGTGATGCAATAGCCAGCGTAATCGCATGTTTGAAGATGCGAACCTCAACACATTTAGAAAGGAACACTGGTGGACACGCTACAGTGGGAACCCACAGGAGCACGCTGTCCGTGCAGCAGTGTGGGGGTGAAGGGGGGCGCAGAAGAACACTGACCCCAACCCACCCCACTCACCCCCACAGGCGTGCTGCCCCCGCGACCCCTTCCAGCCCACAACTCACCCTGGCGTAGCACATTCCCTCGATGGCCATCCCAGTGGAGATGTCCACCTGCAGGGCACAGCCGGACAGGCCCGGGGAACGAGAGAGGAAGGGGGAGGAGGAAGAGGGTGAATTCCCAGAGGTGAGAAACAGGGGGAGTGTGGGGGGAAAAAAAATGACAAGTCACAGGTCAGCAGCACACACCATCACGAATGAATGAATGAATGGGATTTGGATGAATGGATTATGAAACACCACACCTCAGATCCTCTGCTCATGGCCTCCTTTGCCATTCGTACAGCAACCGGAGCCTGCGGATTAGAAGAGAGGGAGTCAGACACAAGACACGGGCATGCAGTCCCACACCACGCCAGAACCAGACGGCAAACCCAGGTGCAACAGCGATCACACTGCAGTATAAAAGACACGGGGAAGGAACCCAAGAGTGATGGAGTCACGGAGAGAGACGCAGGGCTCAACAAACACACATCAGGATTGTCCTGCGAACATTTGTATCTGAACGTGGAAGCTCAGTGGTTTAGTTTGTTGCGCTAAGCTCTGGGCATGAGCTAGAGAGAGACCGTACGAGGGCGAGAGTGAAACTGGGAACCGCGGACACTAGAAATCCGTCAGACGCACCTGTGGCAGTATCTCTCGGGCCAGGTCCAGGGCTGCCCCGTAGGCCGCGTCTCCGGTCGGGTTCTGCTCCACGGTCCGGTTCACTAGGCCCAGCTCCAGCGCCTGCGCCCCCCCCAACCGCCTTCCAGTGAAGATGAGCTCCTTCGCCACGGCGACACCCACCACTCGTGGCAGACGCTGGCTGCCCCCTGCAGGACACCGCACAACCGGGAGCATTCAGGACGGGCAGACAGAGGCTGATGGGTCACAGTGGCTGTTATCCGTCTTATTGCTCACCAGCTCCAGGCAGAAGCCCTCTGGTGGTCTCAATCAGGCCCATCTGTGCAGAAGAGGCTGAAAGAAAGGATTGAAGTCGAGCTTTAGAGGCAAGAGCGCACAGTATGTGAGGCACAGAAGGAAAGTACAGCTGATTACCCTCTGCCAATTCAACTTTTAAAAAAAGTTACAAAAATACAACTGCAGATAACTTCATAGGGGAATGAGGTGGTTGGTTAGACCTCCTGCAAAACTAGTCGAAGAAATTCTATTCTCGTCCGCCTCTAGGAAAGCCAAAGCAGAAAAACCCCTGGGATTCCCCGTGCAGCTGCTGCACACGCGACCAAGTGTCTCCCAGGACAGATGGGATTTAGGCGGCCAGCATTCTCTCAGCTTTAAAGCGCAAAGCCAACTCCTGTGACCAGCTGGGCTCCCGCGAGCTTGCAGTGACGTCGCAGTGCGAGACGCCACTCCTCCAGTCAGCACCTGGCATCCTGTATCATATAATGAAGGAGCCCGAGAGCTGGAGCTGTCCGACAAGCACGTCTGCAGGTCCTCGGGCCCTTTGTGAGGTTTTCAATGCGGTCTCTCTGCGGACATGCCCAACGCTGACGCACCGCAGTCCCCCCGGACTCCTGTGTGGGC